TTGGCTACCTGTGTGCATAAAAGCATTTTCCCTCCTCTCCCTTAAAAAAAAAAGTAACCAAATTTAATAAAATAATTTAAAACATCTGTCAGCTCACTACAAACTCAAGCAAAAATTATCCGATTTTGATGAAATTTGGTATAAACGTGTAAACATTTATTTATTCGAACAAGTTCGCGAACCAGCATGATCGGACTATGGGAACAGGGGAGGGGGGTTTATGGGGGGTTTTATGGGATAAAAATTGGTTTTTCCCATTTTTGACCCAAAAAAACATCAAATTTAGCAATTTCTTTCCAAACCATTTTGTAGAGCTTAAAAAAATAAATAACGTAGTATATTGAAGCGTTATTATGCGCCTAATGGTTATGGAGAAAATTACAAAAAATTGTAATTTTAAAATTCCCATGTTATTCTTATGGAGAATAAGTAAACTGTTGTAGTTTGCTTGTTTATGAACAAATTTTGATCAAATTGGGAAAACGTTTTTATTTCTCAATAACTATTAACATTTTATAATATAAAAAAAATAAAATAAAATAAACACTTTTACCCTCCCTGTTTCAGCAAACCTAAGTACTCGTTAAACTAATTCTATTTAAATCCTACTAATATTATAAATGAGAAAGTTTGGATGTATGGATGTATGTATGTTTGTGACAAGTAAACGCGAAAAATACTGGTCGGATTGGGCTGAAAATTGGTGTGATGATAACTCACATTCCCGATTAACATATAGACGCATTCTTATCTCAAAAGTCATTTCGGGCTCCGCCCCAGTGGCTCTGGAGTTTCCCATGTTAACCTTATGAGTAATCATATTTAAAAGGAATAAAAGAATTTTGTCAGCTGTTTCAACTACTCAAGTTTGTTCTATGATATTAAATAGCATTAAAAAGTTATAAGGTTTACCAACAGAGTGCAGTACTATTAATTTTTTTGCATTTCGTGTCCTCTTTCCGTTGCAAAGCACGGGTTCAACAGCTATTAGGGAATAAATGTGATATTTTAAGGAGATATTTTAGTGTAAATCCAATCAGGCAAAAGGAAATTTGCTCAGTCTGCAGGTTTCCTGCGGCGGGGGTATTTTATTTACAGCGTGGGGTGAAAATAGAGAAACCTGTACATTACATATTTTTTCCTACAGTTACCTAACAATGTAAATGTTCTCTCACTGATTTGAGAAAGCAAAGTGGCCAATTCGCTCATCAGTGAGACAATGTTAACATTGTCTCACTCTAATTACTTTGTCTCACTCCAGATTTGCAACGTGAAGGCACGAAATAGTGAGCGCGTAACATGCAGGCAACGTCGTATGCACGCGAAATACGTTGGCAGCACTGGCTGTAAATCAGCTGGTCAGCTGTTGTACTGTTGTATTTGTCACTTCACATTAAATGTTATATTAAAAGTTCACTTCTGTGTAAAAATAGGTTATGTTTCTTCACCAATTTATTTGTTTTATGGTAACTGTAGGAAAAGTATAATGTGCAACTCGAGTTCAAAGTACAACTGCCTCACTCGAGAAACCATTCCTCACTCGCCTACGGCTCGTGAGTAAGGATTTCTCTCGAGTGAGTCAATTGCTCACTTTTTTCACTAGTTGCACAAATAACTATTTGTTGAGTTTTCGACCACTGGACAGCCTCTAGTACATATAAAATGCAAAGCCCTCACTGACTGACTCACTCATCACTAATTCTTCTACTTTCCATTTACCTAGAAGACTGAAATTTGCTGTTTCATTAAAAAGTTGTGTAAAATTATACATATTAATGGTGGTAATTTTATAATAAACTTCCCAAAGAAATCAAATTAGAAACTTCCAAAAATAAATTTAAATCAAAATTGAAAAAGTTTCTTATCAACAAGGCTATGTACTCCTTTGAAGAGTTTTAGTTCTATAAGTTATTAATTGCTCTATTTCATATAAATTGAAACTTTTGGTTTTAAAATAATTTTATCTATATTTTTTATTTTGATATTTTCATGTATAAACTTTCATATTGCACTGCTTGTTTTAATTTATTTGATCTAAAAAGCTATTAATATTGATGGTATGTTGTTATGCCATGCATGATAATGATGAGTATTTTAGTTAGGCTAGTTAGTTTTATTAAATTACTCTTGAAGCCATTCCTGTATCTATGTATTGTACTTAAATGAATACATTTATATGAAATGAAATGAAATATGGTCATAATGTAAACAAATCTGCTGAGGGGACTTTGAAGGCCTCTGGGGCAGAGCCCCAAGGGAATTTACCTCGTTTCTCTTTTGATGGCTCATCTACAGACCAAGACCTTTCTATAGAAACCCCTACCAAGTTTCTACGCCCAGCCGTTCTCTGAAATTAGCTGTGACAAAAACCCATTTTCCCTCCATAAGAATAACATGGGATGGGAATTTAAAGGCCACTGGGGCAGAGCCCCAAGGGAATTTACCACGTTTCTCTTTTGATGGCTCATCTACAGACCAAGCCCTTTCTTAAGACACCTCTACCGAGTTTCTACGCCCAGCCGTTCTCTCAAATTAGCTGTCACAAAGAAAAACCGTTTCAAATTAATATATAGATAACTAGTGGCCTGTAGGGGCCATAGCCCCTAATTTAAACTACAATAAAAAAAACCATGTATAAATAGACAAATATTCTAAATATGTTTTTAAATTACTTAAAATTAACAGTGTTTCTTATTTTAAATCTTGGTTTTCCTTCCGTTGGAGTCGTATATTAGTTGCTTCTGATGTGTCAATGAAATAAAAATACCGTAATTATTAAATCAATAACACAACATATTAACAAATAGAAACGTGCACACGGTTTGGCCTGAGCCCGAAGGACGAATCAGAGCGGAAATCATACAGCCAAACATTGCACATCTTTTCTAGTTTAAAATTGAAGATTTGTTTTGTAATCTTACGAACTCAGTTATAGTTTCCATTTTTAGAACCAAATGTAAAGGTTAAAATTATTATTAATTATTATGAAGGCCCCCCATCATAATAAAAATAAGGCCCCCCCCCCATTTCGCGGTAGTAAGTCATAAATATATCTATGAATTTGTCCCTGAATTTTAAAACAGTAAGGCCCATTTCTCGGAATCTCTTGTTGTGTAGCGGAAAGCAACGCACAAGCCTTTGCACTGTTGTATTGCCTTATGTTTCTTATGAAGTTTGAAGTTCGAATCATGTAAAAACGGTTCTTTTAGTTCGTCATTTACTTGTGGTTGTGGCATGTCCATTGTGGCAACATGCGTTGAAATGTCCATTTGTGGCCTCCTCTGCGAAGTGAAGTGCGCCACAATACATGCAAGTGCTGTTAAGAGGACCTAGATTGTGAGAAACAACACTCAACTTATTTTCCAGCGTTCTTCTGAAGGCAGGTTGTAAAACAGCTTCTGGATTTATTTCACAGTTAGGCCCTACATGACATTCTCTTTCAGCATTTCTTAAATCTGTTGAATTCCTGGACACTCTTCCACGTCTTGCAGGTCCCTACCCTGTATAGTTACTTCACTCGTTATAAAAACGGAAAACAAAAAAAAACAAATACAATTGAATTTGAAACATTATTTACCAACATGGCCTTTTGAATAAATTGTAAACATTGCAAATAAATAAGTAACAGCTGATTAGAATGCAGACGCTTTTCAGTCCCCATGCTTTTCTTATGGTGGATATTTTACGTTATATCTCGTTTTCTGGTAACTTTATGGGAATTCTGCTATTTTTCCCGAGTCGTTGGGGTCAAGACCTTTAATTTAAGACCCCTCCCACTTTTCTGCGACCTACCAGGCGTCCACAATTTTCTGGTAAAAATTTGGTCTTACAGAATTATATATATAGATGAATCTTAACAGCTGTTTCAATTAAACAAGTTGGTTTATGATGTTCAATAGCATTATGAAGTTACAAGGTTTACCAACAGAGTGCAGCACTATTGTTTGAATTTATGATAACAGCTAATTTGAACAAAGCAGCAACAAAAAGCTGTGGTACACAATGAGAACTGTCTATCTCAAATATTGAATTTGCTGTGGTATTGTGCGTATAGGGTAATTTTATTAAGTGCACAATTTATCAACTTATTGACTTTATTTTATAAAAAAGTATCATGTTTGTTATCCCCAAAAATAATGTCTGGGAAAAGGAGTCGCGTGTTAATAGTTTTAGTGCATTACTGATCAAGTCAATGACTTGAAAGGAACTAATATTATAGAATATGAATGTTTGGTACGGTATGTCAATAACATGAAAACTACTTGACCAATTGAGCTGATTTTTTCCATGAATAGAGTCAATATAACCACAGGCTTAATGGAGATAGTGTGCACCAGATCCTATGGTAACCGCAGCACAGCTGACAGTCTATATTTAATTCTTTTTGTCTGTGGTTGTACTGAGCATACAAAATCCCGCTTAGGGAAGCCAATAGGAAGAAGGAACTGGATACCATTGAGAAGATAGCCCAAGTTAATGGATTTTAAACCAAAACAATAGAAGACATTGCAAGATAGACAAGGCAAAAATTAAATAGCCTGAACAAACTACACACCAGAAACACATAAGAAGAGATAATTGAGGAAAACACCAGATTTGGTACAATTAGTTACCGTACACAGTAACCACAACACAACACAGAGGATTCCTAACAGATTCAAGATGTAAAAATAGTAATACACTGATTAATGAACAGGTAAATTTCGACTCCAGTTGTACTTATAGAAATGTCTTGGCCGGTACTTCTGGTAGCCAATAGGATATAAGTAGGGACGCCATTCAAGATTCTTGTCATTTGCCTATTGGGTCTGATGATGATAGGAGTGTCCAATCAAAATCGATCACCATTACCGGTTATCTAACGTACAAGATCTGTGGCTATGGATAGTCTAGAATCGACAACTAGGAAATCAGCTATTTTAGCGAGCGGTAATGAGCTATTTTGCGTACTGTTTACAGGTATGGCAATGTGATCATTTTCATGCAGTATATGTTTGCAGATGTGTGATGAGCTTGGTCTAATGATCTGGCAGGACCTGATGTTTGCATGCAGCATGTACCCGACAGACGACAGGTTCTTGTCCTCGGTGTCAGAGGAGGTGAGTCAGCAAGTGCTGAGGCTGCAACATCATCCCAGCATCACTATCTGGGCTGGCAACAACGAGAACGAGGCTGCTCTGATGGGCAACTGGTCAGTCTATATCTCTTCAAGTATATACCTAATAGTTTCAGTAGAGTATTAATTCACTAACTTACCAAAACTGGCCGCAGCAAGGTTGGATAAAACAGAAAATAACACATAGGTAACCATTGTAAACATGTTAAAATAATTTGATTTTTAGTTTCTCTTTTGTCAAACCTAATAATGGCTTTAAGTGGGTACTCCATTGAAACCCCTTAATCTTATTCCCTTTTGAAGCTATCCTCATAAATAACGTTGAAAATAACCGACACAGTAAAGACACCACTACTGTAACAGTAAAATATAAGATAAAGATACTCATACATAGGTCTTGGTTCGGACTGTGACTAAGACATAAGGGGAGGAAGAGACCAATGCAGGTATGAGGAGATGACGAACTGTGTGGTATGTAGCGCAAAAACAATCAGATGGTACAATCATGTGCAGTTTCCTCTAGAGCATGTCATGTTTATATGTACAGTATCTTTCAAAGAACAGACACCTGGGTCAGAAAAAATGTTTGTATTGGAATATCATCTTGAAATACCCACTTGTTGCTATGTCATAGTATGACTATATTTGAAAATAGCTTGAGATTTCATGGTACTGGTAGGGTTACCGGCTGGGAGGATCAATCATAGTGTCATAAACCCTTAATACAAACTAAAGATCATTTATTTTTCCAGGTATGGAACAGCTTCCAATTTCAGCTTGTTTAAATCGGATTACATAAAACTGTATGCTGATACTATAAAGCCAATAATCAACCACCTGGACAAGACTCGTACCTATGTCACATCCAGTCCTTCAAATGGAATTGAGACAGAGAGAGAAGGATATGTTGCTAAAAACCCATACGACAACAAGTATGGAGATGGTGAGACCACAGCTAACTTATCAGTTTAAGCGAGTTATAAAAGTATCTAATAATCAAAACAACAAATTGTGTGCCTTCAGTAAATACGTTTTTGCAGTGAACTTAAATTTTTTACAGCCAGTTTGAGAATTGAATATTACCTAATTACCACTAGTATGTAGCTAAATAGTTATACCATAAAGGGTGTAGAGTTATCATCCATCAGTGTTGTAACTGGGGAAGGGATTGTCAATCCACAATATACCACTATCCAGAATAGCCTGTTCTATTAGTGTTTTCTGTTGCATGTGTATGTACACCTTCAAATATTGTCACTTGTTGCAGTTCACTATTACAACTATGAGTTCAATTTATGGAACCCAGTGGTGTTTCCTAAGACTCGCTTCGCATCTGAGTACGGAGTTATGGCGATGCCCTCTCTTGGGTCCTTCATCAACATCACTGCTGCAGAAGATTTATCTTTAAGTTCTGAATTTATGAAACACAGACAACATCACATTGGTGGCTACACCCAAATGATTAATGAAATAAAGTATAACATGTATCTCCCAGACAACCCAGACCTGGACACTTTCATTTACTTAAGTCAGGTATGTTATTTAGAATCTACCCTTTGCCCTTAAGGGAGAAGCTGAAAGAGACACATAGGCTAGCTAGTTTTTTTCTAAAACTAATCCAAAGTGGAAAGTGCTTAATAATATTGAGATCATGTGTATTTTAGGGTGAAAGCAGAATTTCAAAATACACATGAAAACCCAGTGGACCCAAACTTATTGGAACTGGGCCTGGTTGGAAAAACAAAAATATTTTAAATATTGACAATTGTTATAGTGGGGACTGTGTAGTTACAATAAGAGAAATCAAGTAGGCAGGGTCTCCAAACTAAGGTCATATACAAGAGGTTTTATATGGCCCACAACTTTGAAGAATAATCTGTTAGGTATTTTCTGAATTATTTTACTAATCGTTCAGATAAACCAACAAGAAAATAATAACTTGAAATTACACCAACCCAAAAAAAGGGAGTTTTTCACTTAAACCCTCCTTTTCAGATTGCAAGAGATTAATTTTTCTTCATCAAACTACTTAAAATGTCGACTTTGCGAGTAAAGTTTTGCTAAAATATCCAGGGGAGGACCCACAGACCCCCCTCTGCCCTTGGGGGATTTTCCATACTTCCCAAGCCCCCTGGTAATAGTGGCCTGGCTGGCCTCCAAGATATTAAAATCTGGCCCTTGTGTGAACAGGTTTAGAGATTCCTGAAGTAGAGTAATGAAAATGTTTCTATATAAATTCATGATAAAAACAAAATACAGTAAAGATATTAGATATAACACTTGATTTTCTAAATTTAATTTCTTCCAAAATTGCTGGACTGGTTTAGGAATTGTTCCTCTTGAACCAATAAGTAATCCATTAACTTCAAATTTTGATACTTTATACTTTCCCGAATAATAGGGGATAGTTTTCTTATATATCTTCACTTTTTCTTCATGAACTTCCTTTGGCTGACTTTGGTTTGTCTCGAGACGAATTGATGTTGGGTCAATAATGAGACCATAATCTCTTGCCTTGTATGTACCAGAAAACTTACATTCTGATAATATGCAAGGAGAAAATCATAACAGAATCTTTACCGTTATTCTCCAAATTAAATATATTACCGTTAAGATATCTTTACGTATTTAAGGTCTTAATTTTATTTTACAAAGTAAGTGGAAATGTTGGTGCTGTTATCGATGATGACCCTGAGCGTCGCATAACTAGATATGCTCATAATGTAAAACTTCCAAAACCTAACACTTCTTTTTTCAAAAAGCCTTTCGCTTACCTGGGTCCTAAATATCTTAATATTATTCATAAAAGTATTTTAAATATAAATTCAGACCATTCCTTAAAGAAATCATTAAAAACATACTTATTGAGTATGTCGACAGACAATTTCCATCAACTATTTTTGATAATGCAATAATGAATTTTCCAATCTTTCTCAAAAGTCAAATAAAACAAGTTATCGATAAAATTTTCAGTAATTTATCTACGATAATTTGGAACATCACTTTATTTAAGAAGAGATTGTGTGGTTATATATTTTAAATTATATTCAGTCTGTAACAGGGGCTTCTTATTTTTTAATAATATATATAGGCTAAATACCCGTTCAATAAGATTTTGGTTAAATATCAAGACCTTTGTTAATCTTTATGTCCTATTTTTCTATAAACAGGAATTGTATTTGAAATTTTCAAGATGGGCCATTAATTTATATTGTCATTTCATGTTAGGTAATATTATATTTTAATCACTTTGTATTCAGACTTGTAACTCCTACGTGCGAGCAGGAAATCTTTTCCTAGCACGTTAGTATTTTATTTCCATATAGACTAAGTTGTAGGTAAGATTTAAATTTTGATTGTGTTTTAGTGTGCACCCCTCAGTCACCTATTTCAAAGTCAAAGTATTTTTTATTTCCAATTTTTTACAAATTTGATTGAAATATAAAACAATTTCTTAGCATGTATCTTAAAAATACAAACTGGCCTTTTGATGATAAGAAACATACTTAGACACATACTAAATTGCACACTAAAACACAATCAAAATTTAAATCTTACCTACAACTTAGTCTATATGGAAATAAAATACTAACGTGCTAGGAAAAGATTTCCTGCTCGCACGTAGGAGTTACAAGTCTGAATACAAAGTGATTAAAATATAATATTAGCTAACATGAAATGACAATATAAATTAATGGCCCATCTTGAAAATTTCAAATACAATTCCTGTTTATAGAAAAATAGGACATAAAGATTAACAAAGGTCTTGATATTTAACCAAAATCTTATTGAACGGGTATTTAGCCTATATATATTATTAAAAAATAAGAAGCCCCCTGCTACAGACTGAATATAATTTAAAATATATAACCACAGAATCTCTTCTTAAATTAAGTGATGTTCCAAATTATCCTAGATAAATTACTGAAAATTTATCGATAACTTGTTTTATTTGACATTGAGAAAGATTGGAAAATTCATTATTGCATTATCAAAAATAGTTGATGGAAATTGTCTGTCGACATACTCAATAAGTATGTTTTTAATGATTTCTTTAAGGAATGGTCTGAATTTATATTTAAAATACTTTTATGAATAATATTAAGATATTTAGGACCCAGGTAAGCGAAAGGCTTTTTGAAAAAAGAAGTGTTAGGTTTTGGAAGTTTTTCATTATGAGCATATCTAGTTATGCGACGCTCAGGGTCATCATCGATAACAGCACCAACATTTCCACTTACTTTGTAAAATAAAATTAAGACCTTAAATACGTAAAGATATCTTAACGGTAATCTATTTAATTTGGAGAATAACGGTAATGATTCTGTTATAATTTTCTCCTTGCATATTATCCGAATGTAAGTTTTCTGGAGAATAATTAACATAGAACATGATATGAGATTGTTATCGCTTTGGCTATCACGTAACAGCTAAACAGCTTATCGCTAAATGTTGATAAGTCTCATATAGACAATAGACAATAGACAATAGACAATTTCTTTATTACAATTTCATCAAGAAATGTTACAGCGTCAAATTTTACAGATACAAAGTGAAATGGAAAAGCCTCTTCAGTGTTGTGTGTGGTCTTGCCATGCAAAGAACTCATTTAGGGTGTAGAAAGCTTTGTCTACCAGCCATCTCCGTAGCTTCCTCTTCATCAGCAACGGGCCTCCAATTTTCAAGTGGTCTGGTAATTTGTTAAGCATCTTCACTCCTGCATACAGTGGTTTCTTTTCAAACATTGTTGTTCTGTGGCCAGGCAGCAAGTAGTTTCCTGCATATCTGGTGTTGTATTCATGTATATCTCTTTGTTTAGGCGGGTCTTTGGTTACACAGTAAAAAACAGTTTCTAGGATGTAGATGGAAGTCACCGTCAGGATGTTCAGGGTTTTTAAGGCATCTCTACAGCTTTGTTCTTTACTTATGCCTGCTATTATTCTGATAGTCCTTTTTTGCATAACCAGGATACATTTTCATCAATTATGACACCTAGATGTTTAATTTCTTCAGCTGCTGTCAGGTTGGGCATTTCAGATACTGTAGACTTTTTATTTCCAAAAGTAATTAATTTGCTTGGTCTTACTTTCATTGAGGACTAAGTTATTTTTCATACAGTAGTCCTGTGTCATTGAAAGCTATATAGGTGTTTACTTCTAGTTGATCTATGTTTCTGTTTTCTGTAAGCAGCACAGTGTCGTCTGCATACATGTACATGACTTGCTGTACTCCTCAAGGTGTTCTGGGAAGTCATTAATAAACAGGCCAAACAGAACTGGCCCTAGGACAGAGCCCTGGGGAACTCCTCTGTTAGTCGGTAGCAATTCAGATCTGACAGTATATGTAACCCCTTTTGTTGTGTGTTTTATTTCTACCATTTGGCTTCGCCCTTTTAGATAACTTGCAAACCATTTCAGAGCTGTTCACTGGATTCCTAAATTTTGAAGTTTAGTTAGAATAAGATCATGTCCCAAGGAATCAAAAGCCTTGCTTAAGTCAAGATACAGGCTGGTGATAGTGTTGCCATTTTCTATGTTCTCAATGATATATTCAACAAGGTCTATCAGAGCAGTTGTGGTTGATTTTCCAGGAACAAATCCATGTTGGCTGTTTGTCAATGCTTGGTTTTGACTAATATGCTCCTGGGTTCTTACTTTTATAATCTTCTCTATGAGTTTGGAGACAGATGAGAGCAGCGAGATAGGTCTGTAGTTAGAGATGTTTTGTAGATCCCCTTGTTTGTGTTTAGGAAAAACCAAGGCTGTTTTCAAGTTGGTTGGAAAAGTCCCCTCTGCCATCGACATGTTTACAATCTTCATTAGCGGCATTATTAATTCATCTGCACATGTTTTAAGGATGTTTGAAGATATTTCATCAATGCCTAATGATGTAGAATTCTTTAATGATTGAATGGTCCTGCCTATCTCGTCAGGTGTTGTTGGACGGAAGGAAGAGAGAGTGTTTAATGTGGTAGCTGGAGGATTTTGAGCTATTGGTGGTGTGTTGTATCATTGACTTGACTATATATACCTACTGAAGACAAACCACGCTTATGGGCCGGTAGTAGTGTGAGCCAGGTCTCGGGAGCAAGTATTTGGTGTAAGCTGCCGGTAAGCGCGCGATAGTAGGATTTTTTTCTATCTGCGCTCTCTCTCCCACATTCCCCCCTCGCCCCACGGCCTGCTCTGCATCGCTCTCACTCGCACATTCCTTCTCGTTCTCTCTCTCTCTTTGTCTCGCTTCCCCACCGACCACGTGCACGTGACTGACACTGCTACACTGCTACTGCTACGCTACGTCGCTACCGTCGCTACACTGGCTACACTACACTTACAACTTCGGGCAATGAATACAAGCTGGCGCTCGTCAAACACACGATAACATTAGCATGTGTGTTGCGCGATTGTGTGGTACGGGAACATATGGTATGATGTGAACGAGTACTCAAATAAATATAGGCATAATTAATATGTTGCGCAAAAATATTGAGTACTCCTGGTATTTTAATTGATTTGAGTTTGGCTAATGTTAAA